GACTATTAATCACAGATCATAGCCTTTACTTAGAACTGTATAGCACCAAAACCTGGAAAATAAAACAAAAAAAACCCCAAATTTAACTACATTGCAACTTTTTCTCGTGATCTGTCAGAGAAACCACACACTTCTTTAAAGTCTCATTTTTGTGAATTCAATTCAGAGCTTTTGATCTTTTAGACTTCATGAGGATGCAAGATGTTACTCTCACATTTCCATGCAATGCGCACAGAAGCACACAGCAACAACTGACTGGTGTGTCGGTGTTTGCTCCTGAAGCATCCAGGAAGCATAAAGTCCAAAAATGATCATCACCAAATTTTCTGAGAGAAGTGGCAAGAGGGGAGATGACACTAAACCAAATCCAACAACTAAAAACCCCTTCCTGTCTCACTGTTACACCTCATGTCTGGCTGCTATGAACATTCCTCAACCAATAACATTCAATACACATTCGTGGTAGTAGCTACCCAAGACATTAAACCACTAGAATTAATTTTTCCTTACATGTTTCTCCCCATTTCAAAACCAGGCCATGTATCTCCTTAAATACATTGACGGATACTGAGTGAACTAAAATCAACTTCATTTACCTCATGAAAAATCCTCCATGAACCATACACAAAACCCAAGTACGTCAAGTTTGCTAGTAAGAGGTGTATGTTTCTAAACAAGAATTCTTGCTTTCACAGCCATCTGCTTGTTCCTTCTGATTCCACAAAGGAAAAATAATAATTCCAGCTCTTACAGTTATTCCCATGGCAACAAACACTGAGAAATGCTTATTACAAAAAGATTATTGAGGAGTGACTAATAGCTGAAGCTTCCTAGTCCAGGTCCTGCCAGCAAATAGCTCCATCTAGCAAGGAGTTTGCCAATTTTAGTTAAATCCCAGGCCATCTTGTCACCAACATAACTGCTTCCCAATTGTACAGCACTTTTACATCTTTTTAAGAAGAAGCTGAGCAATGTTTTTGCCTTGAAATAATAAGCACAGGGAGAAAAAGAAAGATCACAGGAGTCACGGCTGGCTGCAGAGAGAGTTGCAAGTGAAAAGCTGCTCATCAACTAAAAAAAGCAAAGAAAAAAGAGGAAGATTCTGATGAAGAAAAAAAAAACTTGCAAGAAAGATGATTAACAACACAGGAAAAAAAAGTTATTTTACTTTAAAGCTATTTTTTTTAAATTAGTTAGTTTAATCCAGCATAGGAACTGTGAGTAGTTTAATACATCTGCTTTTTCACAGATAAGATTCAGTTGCTATATTAAACAAAGGATTTCCAGAACCCTTTAGGTTTGATTTTTCATTCAACTTTCATTTAGGTATGAAACTACAGAATTAGAAAAGGATAGCAAGTGCCCTTATAAAGCCACAGTGAGGTCTTAGATAAAAGAAATCTCAAAGAGTAAAACAACAGCGACTAAGAGGTTTTAAAATACTTAAATTCCTCTCTGTTGCAACTTTCAGTCTGAAAGTAAACATTAAGGTCACCTCAAAATAATTTCAGCAATACAATTAAGGCAAATAAAAAATAATAACAACAACCTAAGTATTAATCTGTAAGAAGTGCCTTTGGATTAATCTGAAAGGGGAGATAAATTTATGTAAAGTCTGTAAAGGATATAAGCAACAGTACAGATGGTTTATCTTGCAAAGGAGCTCGGACTAGATAATGCAGTAGTCCTCCTGCACCTTACATAATGAACAGAATAAAAACATATCAGACTGAACAGTTTTTAAGAAAATATTAATGTGAACTCATTCCAATGCACAGCTGCACCTACTGCCGCTACTTACAAAATATCTGGATTGTTGAAAACACTCAAGTATCCTGTAAGGCCTAGAAACAGGACAGAAAACACATCCTGTGCTGAGACCTTCAGAACAGCCTAAGGAAATTATTCACTATTTGTCCTGCAACTTGAGCATGACTTTTTCAGTGCCTTAGACTGGCTTTACTTTCTTCTTCCAGTGAGCTGTCCATTCCCATCTTCTGTTTTGTTCTCAAATACTTAGGTGAAACTTGCATCAAAGTATCAGCAAAGGCAAAAATACATCATTGAAACAACTCATCCAAACTATCAAAATTTAATCTGAAGGCAACATTTCCCTGACTTAATCTGAAGGCAGTTTGGGTTGGAAGGTACCTTAAAATTCACCTAGTTCCAAATCCCTGCACAGGCAGGGACATCTTCCATTAGACCAGGTTTCTCCAAGCCCTGTCCAGCCTGGCCTTGAACACTTGAACTTTTTTCCAGCATCTCATCTAAATATATGCTCTTTCAAGTTAAAGCCATTTCCCCTTGTCCTATTCCTACATGTCCCTCTCCAGATTTCTTGTAGGCCCCTGGAAAAGAGCCTGGGTGTCTGTTCTCAGGAAGCTAATATAACACACTCTGGTCAGTCATGATGACCATCAAGTTCCTCCATGTGTATTTAACTCAAAAACATGAAAAAGTTTGTTTTCACTTTTCCCCAGCAGAGTAAAACAGCAAAACAAAAAAAAAAAACACAAATCAAACCTTTTATTTCTCGTTCTGACTTTTCCCAGATTTTCTGGTTTTATTTTAAAACTATTTTTGTTTTAAAACTATTTTTGCTTAAACCAGTTAAAACTATTCTTGTTAAAACTCTTTCTGTTTAGAAACAATTTTTGTTAAAACTAGTTTTAAGACTGTTTTTGTTTTAAAACTACTACTATTGTTAAAAAAAGATCCCATCTTCACAACACCTACACTGGTACTTACCAGCATAACTGCTTACTAAACATACATTATCCACCAATACAGGTTCTAACTCTAACCCTGGCAGCCCGTAAGTGGCCAGTCAAAATTCTCATCAGATGTGCCTATCCAAATTAATAAATACACTGACACAATCCTCATGGCAGGCTCAATCCTCGATTCTCTCCCAGACACAGCATCAAAGCTAGGAAGGGTGATGAGGCCAGTGCCAAACCTCCACCTGCTCTGTCCCTGTCCAGCGCGCTTTGAGAGCGCTGTTACTGTTTTTAAGCCTCCAGGCATCAGTGAGTAACAGGATAACCTCACAGCGTAAGTTGAGTGCTTTTATTCAAGCTTTAGCAGCAACACAGTCAGCATCACAATCAGGCAAGCACGAGACGCCACAGTTTAGCCGAACAGAAAAACACCGGTGAAGCACTGAAACGCCAGGAACGCCCCTTTTCCGCTCCCCACCTTACAGGGCACGACGTACGCCAAGAGATGTCCAGCCTTGTGCACCCCAGACACCTGTGGGCACTTGCTCTCCCACCCAAACCACCCTCCACCGGCAACCCTTATCCTCCCCTGCCCAAAAAGTACCAAACCCACAGGAATCAGCGCCCCCCACACTTAACAAAGGCTCCCACCTCACCCAGCTCCCGCCAGAGTCGATCCTCCTAAGAAGCACACTCCCCTTGCCTTCCTCACAGCAAACACTGCCTTGCCCCCGGCAGCCCTTTCCCCTCCCTCCCCCGAGAGCCCCCCAACGCGGACCTACCCCTCCACATTCTTCGCCCCCGGAAGCTCCGCTCCACGCAGCCGGCTGCCGCGTGCGCGCCGCCCCGCCCACTGCTGGCCCCGCCCCCAGAACCTTCCGCCACCATCCCATTGGCTGTTCCTGTAGCTTCGCCAGCAGCCATCTTCCCTCTTCGGCAGAGGGAGAGGAAGTGACGTCACAAAGCGGATTGGTGCAGCAGGCGGAAGGGGCAGTGCAACCTCTCCATCTCCAGCACCGCATTGGCTGCTGGCCGTGGCGGGGGCGGTGCCATTGTGGGCCCGTCCAAGGGAGGAAGGTGTGTGGTGAGCTGTGCTGGTGCCGGGGGGAGCTGCCCTCCTCCAGCATGGCAGGGATGTTTTCTGGGAGGAACCCAAACAAAAAGAGGGGGCGGGAGAGCCGCTGAGGTTTGCTTTTCCTGTCATTGCCCCGGGCCCTTCTTTTTACCAACTAAAGTTCAAAACAGTATTTTCCCCCCCTGTTTTTTTTACTTACAGTTTAAGAGGCTAGCACACACAGGTTATTAGAAAAAGGACAACGTACTTCACACTCGATTCTTCTTTTTATTTAATGCTGCTCAAAGTGTTGGGATTCAAAATCTCTCATTCTACTTTTAATTCCCTGTGCAGCACTCAAGTTTGGCTCCAGCTGCAGAGTACTGCATTAGTCCATGGTCTTGGATGTTAATGAATAGACAAATCTGTACTTTTATTTTTGTACCAGTTAAAATCAGATTTGTAGTCTTTTCTGATTAGTGCTGTAGTTGTTGTAATAATACCAGTATCATAAATATGCTATTTCAAGATATATGTTTAAACAAGTTTCCACTGCCATTTTTAAAATTAAACATTTGAGCTGACTATTTTTCTAACAAGATTAAAAAAAAAAAGCTTTATCTAAACCCGGTAATGTGATCAAATCACATGTATAATAATGACAGAACATTATTAAAAAAAAAAAAAAAGAGTTGTACCTCAGTTTAACGTCCTTAAGTGTGATATGTCATGAAAGCAGAAAGTTCATCAAAAGATACTTCAAAGTACTGACAGTTGCAGTTGCCTGCCACTAGTAGCGTGCAAATTTGTAATGAGAAGTCATGCTCCAGTGTAACTACTGTTATTACTGCAGCTATTTATGTACCTCTGGCACAATAATCTTTCTATGAATAGAGAATTTTCTGTCATCACTGCAACACCATGAGATCACCAGCTTGGCTTGTATTTTACAGATGGCTTGATGATTCACCTAGATTGCAGCTCAAAGTCTGCCTCTAAATAGTTAGGACAGACTAGAACACCTATTTGTAATTACGGAGTCACAGCAGCTGCTTAGCCAAGCAGGTATCGCAGGGGATAGACGAGCTTACCAACTGCCATAAAGAGGAGCTCTTTCTCATTTATTTTTCCTTCCTAACAGTTATTTTGGGGACCATTTTGTTTCTGCATGGTGCACTGAAGATAGGAAAATCTCTTAAGCACATGACAGGAAAGACCCAAATTACATGCGTATTATTTTCACAGTAAATACCTTCTGCCATTGTAATGAAGCCAGGTCCTGCTGAAGTCTGTCACCCAGGATTAATCACTACTCACATTAGTGAGAGCTGTTCTGAAAATGTGAAAACAGGATGTGTATGATTTCACTGAAGACAATATTTAATTTAGCACAATATACACTATAATAATGTCAATATTATAATGAGAAATATTTTTAGTTAATTTTTAATTTTGAGTTTCCTGGGATGGTTTGTATTGCCACAAATGCAACAAATACCTTCTGTTCATTGTTCACAAAGTAAAAACAACTGCGAGATCAACTGGAATGACACAGCTCTACTGCCACAGATTTGGTATTCAGGACTCCCAGATGGATCCAGCTAGATTAACAGAAAGTACAATTTCTTGATAGCACAGCAATGCTGCCAAGTCACTGTATCTATGAGGTAGAAGTGAATCTGTAAAGTTCACAAAAGTAGTTCCGTGACAGTCGTTCCAAAGATCACTTGTAACTCCCTAAAGACATTTACAGACATCACTCAAAACAAAAGACATCTTGAGAAAGGAGTCTTTATGATCCCCACACTAAAAAAAAAGCAAAGTAGTCTAAACAGCTCTGAGATTCAGTGTCATGTCTCCAGAACTAAGGTCAGGTGTTGAAACAGCAAGGTCTCTAGAGTGAGATTTTTTTTGCTGTGTGTTTGCATAATACCAGAATTGTGTTGTGACACAACTGTCCCTGAGTTGCTGAAAGCAACTTGAGCACTGCCAGGGATGGGGCAGCACAGCTTTTCTGGGTGACCTGTGCCAGTGCCTCACCACCCTCACAAAAAAGAATTTCTTCCTAATGTCTAATCTAAATCTCCCCTCTGTCAGTTTAAAGCCATTCCCTCTTTTCCTGTCACTACATGCTCTTGTAAAGTGTCCCTCTCCAGATTTCTTGTTGGCTCCTTTAGATACTGGAAAGGTGCTCTAAGATCTCCCCAGAGCCTTCTCCAGGCTGAACTATGCCAACTCTCTCATCCTGTCTCCACAGGAGAGGTACTTCAGCCCTGTGAGCATCTTAATGGCCAACTCTGGACTTGCTCCAACAGTTCCATGTCAGAGATCATACTAGGGATTACAGAACTTAGTTCAATCGGAAGATTCCTGCAGCTGAAGAAATAAGGGTTTATTTTGAACATCTTTAAAAGTTACAGCTCACTGGATTGTTGTAACTTTTTGGTTATCGTCTGTTGAGGGAGACAGGGAGTTGACAAACTTTTCTCAATCACTTTTTGCAGTTCTACTTGATACAATCGAGAAATGGGGCAAATTTATTATGATTTATGATTACCAAGTTCCTGGATTTACTGAAGGTATTTTAATGCTTAATTGCCACTTAGTGCTGAATAAGCACTTAATAAACCAAAATCAAAGGTTGATTAAAATCTATAGTTACATCATACAATAAAAGGATGTTTTGATTGCGAAGTCAAGTTGTTGGGATAAGGACACCAGTTTTTAGAGGTCAGCTCAGAGTTACAGCTTATGACTCAAGAGATCCTGAGTTAACTGTGTATCCTGCAGTAGAAGAGCTGTGTTCATCATCCCTTTTCTGCAGGAATTCTTAATTTTAATAATGCTGCTTTGGTAATGATGCTCACAATTTCTCATAACCTGCAGCACAGGATGCCAGTTTAAGATTTTATATTGAATCCTGCTGAAAGCAGAAGATAGGGCCATTTACTGTGGGCTCCTCCTCAGCCTGCCCAACTGTTCCCTGTAACTCCCTAAAAGGCCTGGATTTGTCAGATCTCATACACTGTATGCTTTTTTTTGTTGGTGTGTACCATCTTTGCTTCAAGCTCTGGTCTTCTAACTGCAGTTGAAATTGGTTGGCAAAGGACTGGCCCCCCAGAAATCCTGAACAAGTTCAGGAGCAGGAGTTCAGGGCAGCACTAGGCACTCAGAGCAGGTACACATTTCAGAACTGCTGTATCATAGACAGTGTTTGCATAACTACTCAAGGCTCCTATGTATTTCCTATATGAAATAGACATTTATTTGCATTGACAAGAAAGAAATCTCAGCAATCAGATGTTTAAAAAAGATGCCTGGACATGCCTCTAAGGGAAAAGAGCCAAATCTGACCAGAAGAATTTTTTTATTTGGCTTTCAATTACGTATTAATGAGGTTAGTCAGCCTGAAGTGTAGACACAGTATCAGTGCTGTCACAAGGCCAACGCATCAGGAGTGAGTAGAACTGCTACTGCAGGGCAAGCACAATGCAGTGCTAATTAGCACTGGTATGAAAGCAGTCTGAATATTGAACTGGTTGACTTCATGCTTTTACCACTGTTTTAAAGATGTTGGTGACATTTACTCCCTCAAACCTTATTAAAAGTTACCAGGGACAGCATTATGTCCTTGAACATCAGCCCAGAGAAGACATTCCAACTCTAAAAGCAGCAAGTGTAAATTTGAGTAATAGCTTTACTTAATTTATAGTTCCATCTATCTATATAAATACTTAATTTATAGTTTCCAGCAACTGATCCACAGCAATGACCATGAAGCAATGAACAGCCATTACAGCATGAATAATACTGCAGACAGTAAATGACCAGAAATGATTATAGAGTACATGCTCTTGCTGAATTTTCAGTTTAAAAATCTTTGCAAGTTAATAAAAATCTAGGTCATAGTGTTCTGAAATTCATTCTATACGTGGCAAACATGATTACATCCCTTCGCTTAACAGCATGAGATCAGCAATTGCAAAGTAACTCTTTGTAACAGGCATTTTTTGGGCAACCTTCCCAAGACAGTTGTGGACTCGATTAGCCACCAGAACTGAATTTTCCACAGCAGGAATTACCCAAATATGGCTGTTGGCACACCAGGAGAGATGGTTAAACATGTGATGGATTAAATAATTCAGAGGGAATTTTTGTCTTTAACTGATATGGAAACAGAATAATATGCTTATGCTTACTAAGCTATCATGTCAAATTAGCGTTATACACTTAAGAGGACTATAACTTTCAGAAAATGAACCTGAATATTTCGGGGTCTTTTGGTTGCTCATTTTTATATTTTGGATATTTTTTTTTAAGATTCTGAAAAGATTAACTGCTGAAACCATCTACAAAATCAAATATGAGACTACATGTAATCAAACTGCATTAAAATTAGTACAGGCAATGAACTGTTCTCTGGCTACCATAGAAGATGACTACAACCCTAAGCCAGAATTGCTCCCCACTCTCACAACTTCAGGAAAAAAAAAAAACCATATTTTTTTTAAAGTTATTAAAAGATGGAATTGTTCCTAACTCCAAGGATGTTTGTTCTGAAAAGGGGAAAGGATTTATAGCTCCTGCCTTATTCACAACACTATTTATTCCTCAGCTCACTACTTCCCAACATCTCTGCAATTCCTTATGTCCTCCACTTACCTATTCCCACCACCCTTTTCTCCTCCATATCAAATATCTTGCCTCTGCTACACACAGGTTCCTTCCCCCCCTTTCTCTTCCATGATCTAGTGACAAACTTTCTTGCTGTTTCTCACCCTCAACCATCTTACTGTGCACATTTTAGACCAGACACTGTGTAATGCAGAAAGGAGATACCTGACCATGCAGAAGATGCATACGTGAAGGGTATCAGTTTGGCACATGAACATTGTCTGTTGTGAGGTGAAAGAACCTTGTGCTGTGGCTTGTCACCAAGCACGAAGTATGGCTGTAAATCTCCCGAGGATGCCGTTCTTTGGAGCTACCTGAAAAGAAAAAGCTGAAAAGTAAATGAGAAGTAGGTCTCAGTGAAGGTGAGGAAAATAGCTTGTAGCACATGGGAAGGCTGCACATAGGAAAGCACCAGATGACTGGGAGGCAAGTGGCCGCTTGTACAGAATCAGAAAATCATTGCTTTCCCACCCAGGAAAGGCCAATCAGCCTCTAGTTGAAGGTAATTTTGCCTACTGCTCACTAGGTGTTTTCTATCACCAATCTGTAGTGTTTTCTAGAGTAGAACAAATGCTTTAGTTCTGCTGAACTAATAAGTTTTAGAATAGTGTCCACAGAAATAAGATCCTCTTGTTGAGTGGTCTAAACTTCTCTAAATTTCATTATGAAGCATGTGTTCAAGCAGCAGCTTTTCACTGACTTTTATGGCAGTGTAAAGGAATCTTGCTACTTTACTCCCAAAATTAAGAAAACCAGTTTGGCTCCCCTACAAATGGCTGCAATGTCTTTAGAGGGGAAAAAAAACCCACCAAACAACAAACCCCACAGATTATTAGCAGATTTAGAATCATTTCCCACACCTAAAAGATTTATTATGTAGTAAAACCAGGAAAATACTTCTCTTCAGGATGTAAGCTATGTTCACTAGTTGTGGGGACAGAAGAACATATTTCTCCCAGAAGGGGAGGGAGGTTTGGAACATTAGAGGCAAATAAAAAACAAGCCTACCAGCCATACTTGGAAAGGAATGCTATAAACCGTACCAAACCCACATCATCTGTAAACCAAGTATTTGCCATGCTATCTGGAAAATGTTATTGTATGTGGTCAGAATAATTCACTTGTATAAAACCAGAGCATTCAGTTAAGTCAATAATAAATGGTGTAATAAATATTTTACAATTAAAAGGATAGTAAGAAAATCCTTCAGAAAAGTAAACCAAGTGTCTCTACATCCAACTGTTCTTCAAACCAAGTTCAAAACTCAGAGAAAGCTCTGAAACAAAATGTGAAATGGAGGGACAGTTCCCAGTGGAATGCAGATCTAAGCTTTTGGACTGGAACTTGCTTTTACTTTTGCAAAGTAATTAGCAAGTAAAAAGTAAAACCAAATTAGACAATCTACATGTAAATCATGGCTAAACCGATGTCAGAGAAATATTATAGATAATTTGTACCTATCAAGGTTTAAGTAGTTATCTTGTATCTCATCTACTCTTTTCATTGTAAAATCTCATGGAAGAAGCAACAAACAACATACAACCAAGGAAGATCCAAATCTCAGGTCTATGGAGATTTAATTACCAATTCAGTAATATTTGGTCAGGATTCGCTGATCAGAAGAGTTCCAATTACACCTTTCTGATTTCAGTTCAGTAGCATAAACTAAACTGGCATGAGTCTATCAATTAAGCTCCATCAGCTGTTGAAGCAAAGAATGAATACTTCAAATCCTTTCAAAAATATGTCATTTAGAGCTAATAATTAGAAAGACTAATGAGTGACATATGAGTCACTTCATGAAGCAAGGGACCAGGCATTTACTTACTGTTACTACATGTAACATTTTAAATCCTTACAATAAACCTTTGTTTCCTCAGCAGAGACCATAAACAGATAAAACATCAGTGGAATGATTAATTAAAACCTTGCCATCAAGGAAGTGCAATTTAGTTACATTTGTTGAGGTTCTTCTAAGCTTATCCTTTTGGGGGTTTGAGTGTTGGGTTTTTTTGTTGTCATTGAGGCTTTTGGGGGCACGTTTTTGTGTTGGGTTTGGGGGTTTTTATTTATTTTTTTCCTCCCTCTCCATTTGTCTCAGCATCTTCAGAAGTAGCTTGAAACTTACAGAACAAACTCTTGACCAACAGATCCTGCATTTTGGTTGTGCTTGGAATTAACATCCTAGTCATCTACATTTTTGACAGCTGTAACAGGACAGAAAGGCCTTGGTAGGACAACAAAACAAGTCACAGCAATCTCTTCAAGTGGTACGACATTTGCTTAGCATAGAAGTGTTTACCTTAGGTAATAAGTAGAATCTCCTGAACTATCTCCACATAAATCTTTCAGGCTATCAAAAGGAGGAATGCTTTACAGTGCCCCATTAATGGATCTGAAATGGCCTAACAGCTTCTTTTCAAGGGGCAGTTACCACCTCTTCTAGAGTGTTCTGCAACACTGTTCCGGAAACATTACTTAACTGATGAAACTTCCTCACTGGGCACTGTACACAGCAGGAAGAGATTAAGTGAGAGTTGTGCTGACCAGTATTTCTTTTGCTGCACTTCTCCAAGTAACTTAAGGCTATATAAAGGTAATGCAAATACACAAATGAACTAATACTTTCTCATGCCCGTATATTAAACAGCAGTTAAAGCATCCTGGGACCATGGTAAAACAAAATTCACAGCATTTGAAATTAATAGTATTCTGCAATTATTCTGTTTTACTAAGGAAGCAAGGCTCATGCAAATATACTGCCTACGTACATTCCATGGAAATCTGTAGATATTTAATAGCCTGAGGAATAAAAATACCCACAGTTGGCCAATTTTCAGAGCAGATTCAGGGGGCAGGTAGAAATCACTGGAAGGTGATCCAACAGGATACAAATTCATCTGGTTGTTTTCCACAAGGACTCTAATTTCAGTCAAGGACTGAGCTGCCTCATTAAACTGACTGTGCAGTGTAAGTCAAAGCAGCTGTCAGACTGGAAATCCAAACTGAACAGTTCCAGAATTTGGGAAATGATTTCTTTTTCCCCAAACAGGCACTTGCATAGAAAGCAAGTTTCTTGTCAGTTAGACTGAAAGCTTCCTTCCGTATTCATCAGTGTGCAGCAACTGACAAAAGCTGCAGACAGATAGAACTTAAATCTTTGTTTACAGTTTGATCAGTAGCTTGTTCTATTGTTTATATGAAGCTAAATAGTCCAGATTTTAAAGCAGTGGAAAAAGAAAAACTTCATTTCAGAATTTCCTTGTTCTTTTTCCTAAGCTTACGCATATTAAGCCCACACCTTAAAAGACAATATTGTTCTAACAGTTACTGATAGATGAGTTTTCTTGTGATCTGTGTTTTACGCTTGTGGTATGTGTCCAACCACATGCCCCTTAGCACTGGAAGGAATAAAGACAACAAAACACAAGTGAATCCAACAGTACTTTATTACCCACTCATTGCAGATGAAGTTAAGACACTTCAGTTACCAGTCAATATGAGTTTAAACATTAGTTGACAACTGCAGAAGTGTACAATGAGTACAAAATCATTAAGGACAATATAACAAAAAGTTCCAATGTATTAATTTTTAAAACATCAGTTCTACACTATTATACAGCAACCATTATACGATACTCTACTAACTCAGGGCTTGTATTTGAAAGGGGTTTTTTTGTTTGTTTGTTTTGCTTTTTTTAGTAGTTCTCCAAGAGGTTGAGATACTGCGGGTTACAACTGCATTCTTTCCTGAAATACTACTAACACAAAACCTTGCCTTGTACAGCCAAAGCTGGCTTATATTTTATGAACACCTGCTTTTATCAGGGAATGCAGTAACAAGAAAAAATCTGTACATAAAAAATTAAAACTCCAATATGCAATATATTTTATATATATACTATACTACAGATTTCATATAAATCAAGTATAGGCCAAATTTTGGCATCATTTTTAAGTGCATTAATACAAAATCCTCCTTAGACTTTGCTCTTACATTTCAGTTTACTGGCTCATGAACTGATCATTCTCAGTTACAATACTTTAGACATCTAGAACTGCCTTAAGATCTAATTTCCATTCCAGGAATATCACCCCTGCCTTTCTTTACCCTTTCTAATAGCAATTAAGTTGTGCGAAAACTGTAGTGACTAATTTAGTCAAAGTTTAGTGACTAATAAAAACTTCCAACTTGACTGTTTACTTACTTGTCAATATCTTGAAGATAATAGTCTCCTTTGTACGCCTCCATTCCTCTTTGATTCTCCAGGAACTGTTATTATTATACACTGCAAATACATACTGCTTTGAAAGGACTCTTACCAACATACATATTTCTGGTGCAGAACAGAGTGCAGAGAAATGTTTCTAATGCACAGTTATATTTGCTTAAACTTCAGCATGTGGTATTTGCTTTTTAGAGAACACCTACAGAGCTGCATCTTCTCTGCCATACAGTATCACATTGTTTCAATTAAGCTTTGTTTGCCTTTGTTTCATGAGTGACCCAACTAATCTACTGATTTGACAAATACAGTATTTACAGTAAACTTTAAAATAGGCTTATGTATTTTTCCTGAAACAAAAAGGCCACTTAAGAATTTTCCACTAGAATAAAGTTCTGGCATGAAGTCATTCAGTACTACTTCCTCCTGCCCCAAAAGGTCAAAATTTCCTCAAAGACATTTGTAGAATATAGAAATAGTATAACCTAGAAACATCCTATATTAGACCAAAAAACCACCCAAGAATCAATTACAGGAAGTTGAGTCACAGTACCTCAAGAAATCAATTCTCCTCTCATCCTTTTACCTACTGACATTATTCTGGGATCTCAGCATTCAGTGCAATTATGGTACAGAGGGGAAAGCATGAATTAAGTACTGCAAACATACAGCCAATTCCAGCTACAGAAACAGCTTCCAAGTTAAGCCCTTTAAAAGTCTTGTAAAAACTGGGCTAAGTGTGAGTGTAAAAACAGCAATCTCAGACCTCAAAAGCAAGACTATTATATTTACACCTTAGAAAGAAAGTCACTTCACACACATTGATGCCTGCACGTTAGACCATAGACATGACCTTCAGAACAGGAATTTAACAGCAATGCCCCTTCATATTATTGAGTTATTAGGTATCTGATGTGTTTATTGTGCGTGAAAGGAAAAATCTCAATTTTGTATTGAGAAAGTAAATACTGAAATAGAAACAACTGCTAGCACAACAGATGTATTTACTTACAGCATGCAAGGTTTTTGTGTATTGGAGCAGCTAACAGCCACTAACAGCCCTTAAGTTTTTACAAGTTCAAAATTACAATCTTCACATAAATTGCTTACAAAAAGTTCAGGACAATCCCTGGGAAATAAGCAAGAAATGGAGTAAAAAATACTGAAAGCAGTATTAGTAAGATAGTAGTAAATGAAAACATAATAGCTTTTAAAATCCAGACAATTTAACACTGTTCTGGTAATAAAAGAAATGAAAAAGCCACATAACCACATTTAGAGATGACATTTTAAAAGAAATGCATCTTTCTGATTTTTTTGTCTGTTTGGGGGTTTTTTGTTTATTTACTATTCTCTCCCACAGGAGACAATCTGTACATAAGCTTAAAAACCAAATCTCTAAGTAAGTAAACAAAATACAACTCCCTTTGGTTCACCAATTAAAATAGCTTATCCACCGCCTCTGCAAGGTAAGTGGTAAGGCAAATGTGATAAAAGACTGAACAGCTTCATAGGTGAGCTTCACAGGAGAAAGATGTTTCAACCCCAGTGCATGGTATAGGAAGCAGAAGTAATAGGTTTTTTTATAAACATGATTTTTTTTCCAATAATAGCTTCTCAGACTTGCCCAAGATGCAATGCATATGTTAGTTCTGACTGAGGGCCAGGTCAAGAAAAATCCTACTCCTATGTTTAACACAGCCTGAGAATAATTCGAGTCTCTTCAGCCTCTTGGAAAACAGAACCTCATGCCAAATTGTACTCTACATGATTGTTTCAGGTGTTATTTCATACAGTAATCAAAGAAGACAAATTTAACTCATGGCTTTTTGTAATAAATATGTATTTGTATCTGCTACTATACAGTAGCAGTATTTATCTCCTTGGGACGATACAACCTGGAACTAGCAGTGACATATGAGTATGTTTTTGCACCACTTCATGAAAGGTTTAATGTGTACTGTCCTTCTGAAGAGTCATTTAACTACCTTTTAAAGTTACGTTAAATTTATTTATAAACAATTTGGTACCAGCTGATGCTTATATAAGAACCAGTTTTCATGTTCAACTCTAGGAATTTGTGTAAAGGAAGTGCTCCAGTTATACCTGCTGTTTCATTATGCCCAATTTGAAGGAACTTAGATTCTTATTAGACATAAATATATTAAAATACAAATATTTCACATTTAAAGTGGCTTTTTAATTTTTTGTGTTTTTTATTCTTTATAACAGTATTCATATTGCATGATATTTTGTGCTCAACTGCCCTCATGACTGTAACTCCTTATAAAACATGAAAATAGAATAGTAACATTTTTTTCATGTAAACTTCAGTAGAGTTGTTGCAGTCTTAGAAACAGGGTTGTGAAGGTGCTGTATAAACATTGATACACATTTTCTGTGGACTAGACTATGTGGTACATGGAACATGACATTTTGGAGCTACCCAATGTAATGTATAAAAATATAAAGTATATCTTTATGAGTAACAGTAGTATAAGCTACAGTGCAATTTTACTTCGCCCATTGAAAGCCCTACCTGCATATTATTTTTTTCTCCCATTCTAGTTCTTTCACAGTAGATTTTACTTTTCATTCATAGAAGAGAGCAAGCACAGCTAGGAAAGACATCTTTAAGAATACCCTTATGCTGTAAATCTGAAGTTCCTAGAAGTCAAAAATGTACCGTAAAAGATCAGTCTTGCTCACTTGTCTCTTCTGTGCTACAATTTAAACATTTTTTTGCTATAAAATGTAAAGCTAGGATATCTAAGGAGAATATGCCTTAAACTTCAGAGAAAGTTATCCTATTGTTTTCACCAGTCCTCAGACTAGTTTAATCTAATTTGAACTAAATCACTTGCTCAGGGCTTTAAGTGTAAGGCATTTTATGTACATTCCCCCCAGCTGTTTATTTAATGACTTAGTGTGCAAAGCCAAACAAGTAGAAATCCCTCCCACAAAACCTTGGAAACCAATTTACCCTTTACTGCACATTCAACATTAAACTGCAAAAGAGGGACAGACAGAAAAATCAAATCCAGAAACATGCACTGAAATAAGCTAACCATTTTCTACTAAGGAAGGTCTTCTCAACTGCAGAAGTTGTTTAATACACTATCAGTTCTGAATACATCAGTTTGAATACATTCATAGTGGTACATTCTTAGTGCACTGAAGAAATGCATCAGAAAAGTTAGTTTTTGACATCACCTAGTGCTGGCATACCATAACTTCGCTGCTCTGAAGAAAGAGATTAACTTTGTTAATTTACATATTAACAGTTTGGAGTTATGAGCCCCAGTACGAACAGTCTTTCCAGTTCCAAATATTACTTACAAAACAAATTAAGCTTTGTATTCTATCCCTAGACTTTTTAACCAGATTATGATTTTCCTGGGGGGGAAAAAAAAAAGTACAATACAAAACTTAAGTAATTCACATCTGGCCAGACAAGGAGACTGTTCCTGACATGGGAAGAACAGATTAAGCAACACATGAACATAGACAAAACGAAACACAAGAGGCACATGAAATTCCAGTTGAAGGGTCATATTCTACTCATCACTGGGAAAAGGATCATGAAAAGCTGGAAAGTGCATAATAATTCAGTAAAACTTAGATATGCACAAACTGTTCATACATTGACCATATTGTCTTGACTGCTCACAATCTACCTATCAGCATGATTAAAAATTTAATTTGATCCTTATATTGTCTTATAGCTATCTAAATGGAGTAAAAGTGATTATTACCTTTAAATACATTAATGCATAAAAATACATGTATTTTCTTGAGAATAAGAATTATATCTCCTAAGAAAGTATGCAAAAACAACGGTCTTTCTAAATTAGTTTGGAATAAGTGAAGCCCATTTCTTTGCAGAATGGCATGTTTTTATTGTTTACGTGTTTAGATAATTAATTTTGAATATCTGTTCACTATATAAACAATCTCCAGAAAAATATATCCTCTTCCAGTAACTTACAATACACATTAAAAATACTTACAAAAGGGATTATTGTCCATTTACAACATCTTGAGCTTAAGGACATGATTCTTGTGTTATTTCATTTATGCAATTTTGATCAGGCTAAACTGAATACCTTCGAGTTCACTTGAACCATGCCAGCAACATGATGGACAATCTAACATTTAAAAATATCTGCCTAATTATGTAGTATCTTAAATAAAATTTGGCATTTTTACATCACAGTATATATGGCATTTCTTAATTTAGTAACAGAAAGGCACAGTTATTAAACCATAAAATACAGTACCTGGATCATATACACTTTAGTGGTATCTACCAATATCAGTCCAAACATTTTACTCTGTAGAGCGGGGTAAAGAAAAAGGTTTCTGTTTACTTCCTTAGAAAAATTCAAACTCATTACAAGTTTGGTCCATTAGAAATGCCTATTAGCTGAAACATCTTGAAGCAAGGCTTCAGGAAAGAATAGATGAAAATAAATTTAGCAGTCTATGGTCCAACAATTTGAGTAAGTTATTATGAAATGGCAAACAGGTCATGAATGAAGCTTTCTGAGCAGCTGATATACCTGTTAAAATGTCAACATACACAGGCACAGACATTCCAGATACATTAATTGCATCACACACACAGACTTTGTTACAGCAATAAGTCTAGACACAGCATTTATAGAGTTCAGCACTTCTTGTGAATTGGTATTTGACTTTTGGCCCCATACCATACCCAAAGATGTGCAAAGTTCTTTAAATGCTTTGCCTTCTATGTATTGCTGTTAAAGTGAAGACCCTGCCAAAGTGAAGCTCACTAGCCTTGACTTAGCAGACTGTGCACCTCTTTGAAAAGCAACCAGCTCTGTTCTCCCTACTGAAAGTGATAAAACTGCATCAAGAAAGACCAATGAAGTGGAAGAGGCAAGGAACAATGAACATGAGGGAGAACCCAACTGTTCCATACGTAATATAACGATAGGGAAGCTCAACTTCCATGCGTTGTCTTGCTTTCCGTACATCATCATGTGGTATGCAAAATATTTTACATGCCAGTGGAATAGTGGCTTTTTTCATCGCTACTTTTGTTAACAACAGAACTATTACTCCGATTAACAACCGCAATATGGCTTTTCCAAACACAGTCACAGTGAGAGAGGAAAGTGATAAAGGTAAAGTCTTGGGAGGAGGATCTAGATTTAGACCCATCATGTAGTTAACGTGAGAGCCGCAGGCTACTCCAGCACCACAGCCGAGTATCTGAGCTGTGTCGCCTCGAGATGTGCTCCAGGTGTCTAGAGTGAAAGAGAAGATGCCCAGGGCTAAATGGAGACTGATGATAATTAAGGGTGCATATTTGTAAGTTAAGTTGAAGTTATCAATCAGGTCCACAACTGGATGGAAGACAACCAAGATAAGGATAGCATACAGAAATCCAGCAATAACATCCTGTTGAAGAGAGACAAAAATATGGTTTCAGTGTAATAACTATTTCAAAAAATAATTTAAGTTACTTTAGCAAGAAGTCTCACTGATCTGTTATATGCAACTTGTGAATTCCCATCTTCTTCTATTTACTGTCCACAATTACTTTTTTTTTTATGTTAAGGGTAAGGAATTACGTTTGACCACCTATTAATAGGACACCTGCATCATAATCAGATCATGAATGGAACTATGATCAAGTGATCCATTATCAGAGTTGTAGATGTACAGATTTTGTGCAGTGAGAGGATAACAGGTACTTGTTTTAAACTAAAAGAGGGTACATCTAGACTAGATGCAAGATACAAATTTTTCACAATGAGGGTGGTAAAACACTGGAACCAGTTTCCTAGTGAGGTGACAGATGTCCCATCCCTGGAAACGTGCAAGGTCAGGTTGGACAGGGCTCTGAACAACCTCATCCCTGTTGCTCATCAACACGTTGAAGATGTTCCTGTTCATTGCAGGGATGTAGGATTAGATAGCCTTTAAAGGTCCCTGCCATCCCAGACCATTCTGTGATTCTTCTGTGACTGTATTTGCTGGCTACAATGGTCCTTATCCAGATACTCAGCCTACAGTCAGCACAGTGCTAGCTAGCCCAGCTAAGTCAGTTCTGCCAGCTGATTCTGCTGTAACAGCTCAACACTGGATCTGAGTGCCCGAGTGCCAAGACACAGGTACACTGGCAGCAACAGCTGGTAAGGCAGTGAAGGACCACTGCAGCTAGTCATTACAGTGGCTTAGACTTTCCACTCTAGCTTCAGAATTAACACTACAAGAATAAAGAATTGTTTGCCACTATTAAAGGAGAGGAAGAAGTAACATCTGTGGCTTCATACTTGATTTTCAGTTTTATTATTGTTTTTAAAATGTCTTTTCTTAATTAAAAGGTTCCTCAAATTCATTTTTAATTTAACATTAAATTTCAGTTACTGCTGATTGATCACTCAGTTCCACAGAATTATCTGCAGCTTTTGTCACCTTTACTTTTTAAGGAGGAATTTTTTGAAGGCTTTTTGGAAATCCAAGCTGTAGCAACAAGATCACCTTAATTCACATTTATCAACTTTTCCACACGAGCCAGGGGTAGGACATGCATCAGCAGTATTTGTATTGCTCCATCTTCAATGAATCACTCAGTTCCACTAATAGAATGCTTGATAAAAGCTCTAATAGAATTGACTGAGAGGAAAAATCAGACTTTCTCATTTCAAAAGCAACCACAACAGCTTTCGCCCATATTTACCACCTTGAACCCTTCCTCCTTCCCCCCACAACTTAGGCACCATGGTTGATTTCATTACAGGTAACACATGGTTAATTGTATTCATTCAAACATTAAGGAGGAATCAGATATGAAACTGCTGAATAACCTGCTCCACATGATGAATCACGATTTGTTGCATGACTTACAGACTATCTATCAGCTGACACTGTAATCTAAAATATCAGTTCATTCCACTGTCCCCCACACGTTGGTTCTGACTTGGGAAGCCTCCTAATCACTAATGCAAATACATCGGTCAGTTTTTCCAAGCTGCCTTATTTTCATATGCTCCTTTTACACTGTGTTCATCAACCAGCTACTCAATACCAGGCTTGCTGTTTTCTGTTAACTTTTCCCCTTCTAGCAACTGATCCTCAAAAACCTCTTTAACCATCCCTATTAATCCTTTTAAATTCTGATTACCATTTTATAGTGATCTTGTTTTCCCATTTTTTACATTGCTTGTATTTGTGTTTCAGTTTTATTCTTTTTAATCCTTTTTAATAAGCAATTCCCTTTTTCAAAGATGACAACTTTGTTATTTTGTTTTAGAAGTTTGTTAAGTGAAACTCTAGCATTTGGCATGACACTCTGAAATGCACATGCTTTGAGTAGGTGATGTGGAACCTGAGTGGACATTTACAGCCACTCTCTCATCCCATGAAATTATTTCTACTCTGCAGAGGAAACCTTAAGTCTATGATTTAGTGGTCGTCAATTTCAAAATTTAGCTGAAACATCAGCTAAGTTTCAACTGTGGATTGAGTTTATGAAAGAAAAGTATAAATTAACACAAGTTTGACATCTAGTTTTAGCTATTGTACTCATGTACTGCTGGAGAAATGCGAGTATTCTGTTCCTGTATGGTAGGCCATTCTATAAAATGATCTATATACAATTACTGCACTGTAAAAGCTTATGTGTGATGGAAGTTTATGAAATTAGAACAACATTAAAATAGAAGTTTAGTAGGATTATTTTCTTACCAAAATTGAATGCATTCCCATGTAAATTCGACTACAGCAAACCAACAAACACCAGCAGAATGCAAGGATCAGTCCAAACATAAGGGGATACTGGTAGGGAAAAACAAGTGGAGAGACTGTATTAGAGTTTGGAAAAAAAATAAATCTAAAAGAAATCACTTTAAGAAATCTGTAATAATTAATTATGTCATTAATTCCTATTAATGCAACTTATGCTTACCCTTTCCCTTGCCCTAGCCTACCCAAGCCTATTAGACCACCTCAAGGAAATCCGCTTTTCATAACGGCAAAACATTACTGACATTTTTCAACTTTTTCCTTGTCCTCTTCCTTTGCATTCAGGATATGAAGTTCAGGGCTTTGATCGTATCTTCTCAGACAAAGCAGTAAGAAGTTAACAGATTTCAGTAGCAGTTAGTCTTGCCATCTTAAGAGATCCTAAATTGGCAATATGGGCAGAGACAAGCCTTGTGTTATAAACTGCAGAACAGTTTTACACTGTAGTATTGTTAACAATTACTGAGGCAGAATCTAGTAGCTTCACCCTTCTTCTGAAAAGGAAGAACTCGTAACCATTTACAAATAAATTCAATTCCTTTCTGCAGTCCCTGACTCAATATCTGAGCATCCATATGAAACTCTTGAAATCATAATCAATTTTGTTCGCCACAAACCCATATAAGTTTCCTATTGCAATCCATATTTATTGAACATAAATAATCAAGGAATTATTTCAAATTGTTTCCACTTTCTGACAGATTTTTAAATTAATAAGTACTGTTTACCAGGCACAAAAGAACCACTTCATTTTAATCAGCGTGTATCAGCATGTGCAGAAACTTAGCATTTTAACTTCCCTAGGTTTTGGCTAAACGTATGCCAATTCACATCTTGCAACACATTATGAAATACTTTCCCTAACTACCATATTGCAAAACATTGTACAAGACAGGATATGGCTTCCTTTCAGTATTAAAAATAATTATTCTATAAAAGAAGTCATCACAAGACAAAATAGCATGCTTCCAAAACTGCTTCACTTCCTACATGATAAGCATTTTCAATACAAACAGGCAGTCTAGATGTACTCAAATCTTGGAATACAAACTAAGAACTGCAGGCAGTTCTCTTGCCTTCTGCCTTGCTCCTTTCATGGGTAACCTGAAGGGTAGAATATCTAACAAATAAGAGAAAGTATCTTTAATTTTATTGGAGAAAGGTGTATATCCTCTCTGAAGGCCACTTGACAGACTGACAAGCTTCTAAATCAGTTTTTCAGTGAAAGGTTTGGGAGGAGATTATAAGTCTTCCACATTATTCCAACATTCTTTGAATTCTTAGCTCCAGGAGCATGCTAGCATGACAAACCTAAAGAAATTTTCTCAAATGAGTGGAAAATTGGGAAGCTCATGCTTCACATACGAAACAAATTTCACATTAAAATCAATTCTAAATGCCCAGCTCACAGTTGTGTTACATCTAGTTTAAACTCTTAATTCCTGTACCAACATGTGTCTTTTTTTCTACAACATTCACCTACAAATTGTAACCTAAACAAAATTACGTATTTAATGATTCATTTCTAACTGAAATGAAAAAGGAACAAATTCAGTTTCCTGCCTTTCAGAATTATGCTAATAACGGGCAATACACCAGTAACTAGGTCACACTCAAGACATGACTGCAGAGTCATCAGATGCCAGCATTGTTATAGCAGCCACAAAAGCAATCCTTGTACCCTGTGCTGCCCCACCAGAATACATTACACCATTATGTCTCTTCCATCACTTCCATTGATCTCAGGGTACCAGTTTCCTGCAACTGGAAGACACTTCAGCCACACAACCTCATGCCCCACTCTCCCTTCACCTCTGAGGCCTACCAAAGCAGAAATGCTGTATGTATATAGAGGGATAAGTATATCCTATATTCTCTGAAGTAGAGAAGAGCTTCTAGCACATCCTTACCTGCTCCACAACATGAAAGCCTGGAAAGACAGACTTCTTGTTTCCCAGAGACAGACTAATAAGAGAATATTTAGTAACTCCAGAAGCAATGCAGACCTCTTGACTAGAAAACTTAATACCATCACAATTACTTGGTGGTAGAATCAACTTACATGTGTTCATATGCAAGTTTCAAACATTTTTGTGCATCACTTGATACCACCATATGCCCATTCTTGTTTCCTGGCACACATCTTTTGTGCTTTCAGGCCCTAATCAAGAATAAGATTTTTCTTTAATAAAGATTTTTCCTGTGTTTCTGAAATACATGACAGAAACAGAACCTGGAGCTTTAGCAAGACCCATGAAGTGTCACACTCTGCAGGCTATAGCTGCTAATGATACCATGGAGGGGGAAAAGTTAACAGCAGCTAAAAAAGCAAGACTCTAAGAAGTATGACAGAAAAGGTGTATGTGAGAAGTCTTATTCTAAGAGTCCTGGGCAGGTCACTGTGAACAGCAGGGAGAGTCAGATAAATTCTGAAAAGTAAAAGAAATGTTTGCTCTTAGTCAGCTCTCAAGGGAGGAGTGTTTGAGAAAGAAGAGAATTGTCAGAAGCTCCAGCTTTCAAGAAAAGTTCAAAAAGAGTATTTGACTCTCTCATATCTCACTCTAATTCTGTTTTTAATAATATTGAGTATACCCACTAAAATATCTGAAAACATTGGCTAGTTTAGTTCTTCTGTAGCAAAGCATCTGTATCTAAGAGCTCAAACACTTCCTTACTGAATCACAAATAAAATCCAATTATACATTTTACCCCAATTCATATCATCTTAAAGTGAAAGATTTTTTAATTTAAACCCAGACAAATTATTTGTACTGAAATAGCTTTAGCATGACCTGTCCACAAATGTATCTGCAGTATTAGGAACATGCTGATTTATGGTATTTTTAATGCATGATAATAATAATCACAGAAGTCCTAAACCCAGTTTATTTCCACCAAGCGAGTTTACTCACTACAGTGTGCTGAGCTGGGTTGTCCACAATGAAAAAGCAGAAGAACCAAACAATTATTCTAATTTCCTCTGAAATAATCCACAATACAACAGTTAAGTGGTTTTTTTTGTGCTTAGTTCCCACACAAACCATTCTTTTCTATGCTCCCCCACTACATAACCAGCACTCTTGGACAACTGTCAGTTTATGTCTGAAGCTTACTTACCAATCAGTAAAATAACTATCAGTTTAAAGACATCTTTTCATATGAAGTACAGAAATAAAATTTCACCTAAAGAAGGTTTTAACTTTCATCTGTCCTGGTTTCTCCCCATGTTACATCCATACTTCCCTGCATTACTGATGAGAATTTCTTCCCACAACCCCAGTACCCCACCGCAGAGCATAGTAAAGCTGTACATACACTTTGGGCCTTCACAGTTCACTGGCCTCCTTAGACACCACTAGAAATCAAGCAGAACCATCAGCTACTTCAACACAAATAAAGCTCACAAATACCCTGCCTCCTCCTTGGACTGCTTTCACTCACACCATTTAAAAGCAGCCACTGGGTTCAAGAATTCCTAGGACACCAAACCAGCAGCACCTGCTTAAAAGTCTACATTCAGGTGATAAGGCAACCACGTTTTGTCTTCACACGTACAGATAAAGTGTACAAGGTGAGTAAAGGAGAATATTAACACTCCCACACATCTTTTAGCTCAGCAAGAAAACAGCTCAGCAGCATGCCAAGCTGACATCACCTTGATGCCACAAATTTACTTTCAAATCACTGTCTGAAAATAAAGCAATGTCGAGGTACTAGCAAACATTTTCTACATGTTGTTTCATTTATAACTGATTAACTGCATGTATTTTGCATATATACATTTAGTATACCATGGTTGTATATCTGTAACCTCCCACTGCCCAGGCATAAGAAATCCCCTTAAATACCAAATAACTTCTATTAGTACAGTGCCTTAAATAAGCCTTTTTAGACATAAACATCTCAAACCCTGACTCCATGCCCTCAAGAGCATTGCATGTATATCCTCAAAAACTCATTATACTATCTCCATAGCTATCATGCCACCCCAACAATTTTTAGTATTGGGAATACTTATTGAACTGCATACTGCTTTCTTTTTGCCAAATTAAGGGAAAAAAACCCAAGTTGTGATCTGAAAATCTTAATCTTATGCAAAAATAAAGATACTTGCATAGTACACTTAATGTGAACTTCAGAATCACATGTTGGCTCAAAACCAGTATTTACCTGTCACTACTTCTCCTTGAGAAAAATACCCACATTCCATATTAGATCAAATCGCTGATATCTGGCTTGCACAAGCATTTTTCTGAAGGCCAGAATACAACTTTGATAATATGCATAAGCATGTAGTACAACTACAAGATTAGAATATGAAGTAAAAGCAGGTGGAATTGCAGCAAGGCAGAGATCAGAAACAGACACAAATTCAACACAGATATTAAAAAGATACTTTTGCTGACACTTTTTGGCTTTAAAATGTTTGAAGGCATCATACCCATTAAGAAAAGTGTCCAAGTGTTGACATGTGTGACTAAGGGACAGATCACCAAGCATTTTAATAAAAAAAAAAACAAACAAAAAAAATTCCCCCCAAACCCCAACAAAATGGTTTATTGATTTCTTAAATTCACATATTAAGTTAAAGAAAAAGCTAGAAATAAAGCTAATTTTAGTCAACTACTCATCTGCTTTCAGACCTCAGTTTTGTTCCCATATCCAGAATCTTGTTAATCAAAGAAACCACATTAAATTGGTCCTATTTGAAAGTGAAACTATTCCCAATAAGTCTTTCAGAATTTTATGCTCTATGTTTTCAATAGGAAATTCCCATTTTATTTGATTACATCCTCCAAAACATGATTGCAAGCTTCTGACAGGATCCCATCAAAAATGTTTCCCTCAGCTGCCTATCCTCCTCCCTCCCCGTCTTCTGACTTTTTGCCAAGAGTCTTAATAACATAACTATTGTTTGAAAATGCTCATAAGGAAACAATCTGTCCTAAAAGCTTTGACCTAGGTCAGAAAATTCCTTCTGTCATAATGGAACATTCTGAAAATAAACTCTAGATGCCCATTTCTTTACTTTT